TATAACGGTCGTGTGTAAAACCGACCGACATACTTTACACTATCCTCTTTGGATTGAAGCGACTTTCTACAATTTACGAACAAGCTTCAGCCGACATCGATCTGATGTACCGCAGTGAAGAAAAGATGGAAGGTTACTAATAGATTTATCGGTTACACTGGTACCCACATTTCTATCCAGATAGGGATATCTCTCTCTATTAGTTCACGACTTGAAGTGGTTCCAATTTCGATCAGTTTGCAGTGATATCCTTTTCTCGGTAGTACCGAAACGATTTTGTTGAAATTCCATCAAGGAAGATCGGAAAGACAACGATGATGCGCGCGATGGGCGGATGATCGAACTCGCGCAAAAATCGTTCCTGTGGATTCGAGCGCGAAATTAATTTCCGGCGAAGGATTATGGATAATCCATCGCCTATGATAAACTTGCTTCGCAAACGCGTCTTTATCTTTAGTTATCTCCTCCGTTCAGTATATCTCGAGGGCCGATCAGAGAGAAAGAGAGAGAAAAAAGAGTGTGTGTGTATGTGTGTGTCTAAGTTTACACACAGTATATTTGCGACAGACAGACAGATAGACACGAGCGATTTTGAAGAAATAAAGTTGATTATAGATGAAAAATATTATTTGACAGACTGATCACGAAAATTGAAAAAAATATGCAAAGATTTGAAGATTAAAAAAAGATCGCAAAGATTGGATTAAACAAAAATTCGAGTAATTTACTAATAGAGAAGTCCGGATTTAAAAAAAAATAAATATTAATAAAGTATTCTCTCAGCGAAAACGGGAGCCGGTAAATTGCTACGTAAAATTAAACTATTCTTTCGAATTTTAATAAAGAAAAGCTATAAAGTGACATCCGAAACTGTCGATACGTAACGAAGGGAAAGTCCATGTTCGCGCAGCTCCCAGAACAAAATTAATTTCTGGCATAACAGAACGGCTCTCGGTCGATAATCAGCAGGGAACTTGTTTCAACTCCCTTCCGTTTAAAAGGACCATAAAACCCAATCCACCGACACGGTCGTTCAAATCAGTAGCAAGTCCATTGCGTCAACAACGTAACTCCCTACTAAGGAGATTTTAATCGGATCGCTTTTCACGTGTCGGCGGAAAGTGCACTTAAATCATCTGCATATCTGTGTTCGCTCGCATTAACAATCATAACAATTATCGACAAGATATGCGGAAACGCAGGTGTTTTGTCGCACGAAAAATTGTTATTGCATCGGAATGAAATGTAAAACGTGAAATGTCGTGACTACTTATTATCAGCTATTTCCACATCCGTATAATTTAATTTGCATATGGAACGAAAAATGATTAATAACTTGATATTTCCCTTTTGCGTCCGGTTAATACACGCATTAAATATGCGTATACATATTTAAACATTTTATTTTGAACGCAAAGCGTAATAGCAATCGCGTAAGATTAATTCATATCAACAGTCATTTGTAGTAGTATAAAGGTGGTTTATTTCTCTCATCAAAATAAATTAGTTTTTTGGAACGGGCTGAATATAGGTAAATAATTTGAAAACAGAAAGATTTAATTAAGTATATACAGAATAGACAGCTAGTTGCTAGAAATATCTTATGGGTACAGTTATATAGGTATTCAAAAATATAGACGAGCATAAAAAGAAGATACTACAGTTAAGTAGTTTACGTCTCAATTGAACCAGTCCTAATTGAATACGTCGGCACGGAAATAAATGTCGTCGCTCGAATTGGCGGGCATTCCTCGCTCGGAAATTTCGATGAGAGGCTTTAGCACAGGCTGAACTTTTCTCGCGTGGAACGCGGCGAAAGTTCCTACGGAAGAATTCGGATAGGAAAATTAATTTCGCGAGCGGAAAACGAACGACGTGATGAGGCTCGCGCGAGTGTAGCTTGCTTGCATCGAGCCAGGGGGCCTGTTCGAAGGAACCGAACAGCGAGAGGCCTCGGACTCAATGAGTGGTGGTCTCACGAACCCTATGGTCTAGAACCCGGCTCTCCCGTCACGGAAGTGCTTCTACTAGCGAAAAGTTTTGAAAGGCAATTACGAGGGTTATTTTATGACAATACGCGCGCGCGCGACGTTACGCTACGCGGAAAATCCATTCGTTTCGAAGTTTCGTATTATCCGCAGCGGCACGTCGCGGCACGTCGGCCAGTATTTCGAAAAGTTCGACGAAATTGGAGGTACGAAGAGAAATAGAGTGTGCCGGGGGCGATTATGCTTAATCCCGTCATCGATGAAGTTTGATATTACGCGCACGTCTACGTCGCCTTTAAACTTCATGGCGCTTACGGGCCCGAAAGCTATTCTCTCGTTAAAGTCTCGGAGATTAACCGTTGTTTTGCGGCGATGTTAAAAACGTGAAGAATACGTCAGTTTTATCGCGCGAGTGTAATTTTAAAAGAAGAGTGGAAAAAAGAACATTGATTGTGATAAAAAAATGAGCAAATATAATTATAATTTCTATTCTATTTTTTAAATGTATTTATCTGCTCTTTATACAAATATGTTCAAGATTTCAGTGTCTTTAAATATTTCTCAATTGTTACAAGTTTATAAAAGATTAAAATTAATCTCGGTATGCATTTTTTACTCTAGAGCTTGAATAATACATTTCTGCAACTTGAATCACGCCTAAAACCAGCCTAATTAAATTATGATAATTCCAAGGATCTCTTCTGTGGTTAAATATTCGCTGACAATATGTGGTGAGGAAGTAGAGCAAGTATCTCCATCCCGGTTGAAATCAACTCTGAGCAACGAGCGAGAGTACATGCAATTCCGCACTAATCGCGAACTCGCCCTAAACATCGCGCAGTCGGAAATTCGCGGCATACGGCTGTCTGGCTTTGTGAAGCACTTGACGAAATATAATTCGCAACTGAGAAAGTGCTTGCCCGTACACAGCTGATCCGGAAGTGCAATTCCGGAGTTGGCGATAGTTCGTGCGTACGCTCCAGGTATTTGTGCCGCCAGTTGCCTCGTGTATTTCCTTCGTCTTAATCAAGAATCGCGAATTCGAGTGTAAGAATGCGGATTACGTGCGAAACGGATGAATTATTGTCAACTCCGGAGAGAACAGTTGCATTAGTTATCTCGAAATGGCGCGCAACAGCACCGGTACTTGCAATTTAAGTTGTGCCAAAGATTTATGTCCATTCCTTCTTTCATATTTTTCTCCAGAAAAATATACTTTTGCATATAACGTAACGCATAAATTAATAATGTAAATGTTTGTTTATTTAAAAAATATACGGCACAAGTATTTCACTGGGACGCATTTGGGGTACATTTATCAAAGTGGTAGAAAGATGTTTAATTAAATTGTATTTAATCACAAATTGCACGTTTCATACAAAAGATATAACACTGCATTGTTTTAAAATTATAGTATATGAAGCTAATAAAAACTTAATAAGAGAAATTATATGAATATTTGGCTCGAAATACTGGCTGTAATTTAATGATAATATACCTATAATATGAAGAGTGATCTCCCAACTAAATATTTACATTGCGCTGATAAAATTGCGCTATATATATTATTTAATGATAATATTCCTTTGTAACCGAAAATTACAGCGAAACAGTCACATGGACCAGATGTGTGCCATTTCCGCGTTTATTATTTTGCAAATAATGTTCGTCGATTTTTGTGTCACAACAAAGCCAGCTGTGTGTTGAAAAGTGAATTCAATCAAAGACTGCCGTTACTAGTTAACGAAATCCAACGTGAAAACGATAACTGTGGAAACTAGGACTACTTTTGAAATATGTTACGAGTTTTTTATTTTTTTCCAACGAAAATTTTGCAATCCGTATTTTATTCAAGATTTATTTTTTCGAAACGAAAGTTTTCAATGCAGAAAAATAAAGCTCAGTTAGAAAAGAGACACATTGAATTAATATGAAAAAAAAAAACAAGTCGCACGTTTCAAAAGAAACTGTATCGCGCTGCAGCGAAATATTTTTTAAATATCGAGAATTTTGGATACGTCCGCAATGACGGTTTAAAAAAAAAGACGGTTTAAAAAAGTTTTAGCGTACGATCGATATTGCAGTTAATATCTTAATCTGATGCTTAAAGCGCGTGCTTCGCGTACAACTATTAATAAATCCGCCACTGTGTTTCCCACCTCGCGCGCGCGGCGGTCTCCTCCGTAGAATTAATTTATTTCAATAGGATAATCTTTCCGTACATTCTGTGTAACGTTCACGAGATACGCGAGAAAAAATATCTCTCGAATAGCACGCGCGATAAGCTTAGCAGCTAGTAAATGCACAGTATGCGTGTGTGCACGGTAACGCGCAGATTTCAGGGGAAATCCGGCCGTAACGTCGCGCTGCCGTCACGAAAAGGAACGTTACCGTCACGTCAAGATATAATGTGATGTATTTAAATAGGTCCGTTCGCGAACGTACTGCCACGCGAACTTTCACGTGCGCGAACTGACGTGACGCGACAATCCGTGACGTTGATGCTACGTACGATCTTCGATGTGACGCGAACGGGTTAACGGGCTGATGCCCCGGAGTTTCTCGGCCTGTAACGCCCGTTTCGAGAGATTCAAGTGGCCTCGCGCGAAAATGCAATACATCGTAAATCCGCCGGGCGCCGAGAGTTGGCGGACGCTCAAAACATTCCATAGACGCCGACTTCGAGCGTACGGAACATTTCGGGCGCGCGGACGTGCCGTAAAAAATTATGGGACATTTATTCCGTTGCTAGTTTGGCAATCTGGGGGTGACCGCGTTAAAAATGGGATAGAAAATGACGGCGCGTTATTCTTGTCATTCGACCATATTAATCAAGAACGAGAAGTAACGCTGTGCAAGATTGATCTCATAATCTCGTCATCAGGGAATCTTATTTTTAACTGCAAATCACATCAGATGAATCTGTTCTCCGCGCAATCTTAAATTTTCTGTCGATAATGGTTTCCTCCCGAGGGATCGGCATTAATCGTATGTGGGCACGTTTGCTTTCAGGTGGTATAGCGTCATGTCTACGAAACTTTCGGACCGATTTCCTGGAGGAATGGCCGACGCCGGGCACCGGGCCTCACTTCGACATCTCTATGCAATCAAACTTCACCGGTCTGGTGGGGAAAACGGTGCATCTCGTGTGCAAGGTGAAGAACTTGGGAAATCGAACGGTGAGCCATCGGAAAATCCATCGTCTGGTTCGTGACCAGAGGCGCTATATCTTAAGCGGACAGCGCGCTGGTCAGCTACCCCACGTCGCTGTTGAATAATTTAAGGGTAGGGCCGCACGAACGACCTTGCGACCCTTCCTCGCGATCGTAGCGGATACTTTAACGGCGCGTCACGTCGCCAGATTCGCCCGCTCGCTCGCCACCAAAGAGACCCGTTAAACGACTTTCTAATCGATCGATGGTCCACGAATGGAAAGTTGGAAGTGTCATCCGAGTCGTACGAAAAGTGTCAGTAAAAAAGTAACAAGCGCGAATTACTGTGATAAAATACAAGGAGCTAATTATTCTTAAAAGGGTACTTTGGCGAGAGAATCACGATATACCTCGTGCCATTGCGTTTTATTAAGATTTTAGAGCATTTAACTGGTCGAAATTGATCGTGAATATTAATTTAATCCACGTGTAAAATTTATATTATCGAGTTTTTTCTTTCACAATTTTTATTCTTTATTGTTATAATTACAACTCGGTATAATTACAACGATGGCGATCATGCGCGCAACGCGAACAAGTGCAGCTCTATGGGGACACGCTTCGCTTATGAAATATAAAATCGCTGTTCTTACACGGTGAAGTCCGTGGCGCGGTTCGTCCAACGTAAATGGGGCTATTAAATAAACATTACTGTTCCTTCATCGTGCACGGAGCCGGCGCGCGGCGTCTCATGAAAAAGGCAGCCGATGTTAGCGTTTATGTTCCTGCATTATTAACCGCTCTTCTTATACAGTGAGTGGAAGCATTCTTTTTGTGTATCGAGCGTCGATGAATTATGTCGCTTTGAAAATTCCTCTCCTGCAATTATAGAACTACCGGTTTTATAACTGTTCTATAGACTGTTCTGTAACTGAAAATATCTTAACATTTGATCGTATCGTCACGTCACTTTTAATTGAGACATTACTTCTTTAGCACATTGTTTTTCCACATTTGCATTTAAACTTGCCGAATAAATGTATTGAGAATGAAGAATGAAGAATTAGCGATTGATCGCATAAGTACGAGATAGCATGACTACACACGATCAACCGATCGTAATTTCTTTAAGAACGCCGCTCTGCCACGAAACTGGTTTCGCATATATCGATAGTCTTTGCGCTTCTGTAACCACATATTTATTACGTTTAAATTTCAGGTTTGCGTGTACTCGTGATAAAACTTGGGTAATTTCCAAAGAACTACTCCGTTGCATTTTCTTCTTCCTGGAAATCAAATGTCCCGCTGATAGCTTCCGTTTTAGAGCTGATCGTTTGGTATCGCGATTGTAACAGATGCATGACGCTTAATTTCATTGAACCGAATCAAACACTTCTGTTTTCATTACTCGCCGCGGTGTATCGAAGCCGAAGTGTTTATTCTTATTTCAAACGAAGCAGAATACGAGTGCGTCGGAACATTCGTCATTCGAGTTTGCAAGAGTTCCGTTGCAACGCCCTTTTAATCCGTTCTTTCGAGCTTACTTCGTTGACATGATATCATCGGATCCGCCGATGATATATGACGCTGCTATCATAAGCGCGATGGAAGATCAATCGACGCAGCTTGCTAACGCGAAGGTGCATCATTACCGGCTGTTTGCTCGGACCAACTAAGAAGCTACTGCAAATACATGTTAGATGATAATGGTCGTCTTCATTAGCAGACATCGTAATCCGTTCAGGTTAGCTTGAAATCGGCTTTCTTTCGCGAAAGATAGATCATGCAGTCCATCTTGACTACAATCTCCGCTGTTTCGATGGAATATAATGGTATTTAAAACTTTAATAGTAAGGACTTAATAGTTTAACATGAAATAGTATTATAAGGATTTATTTCATATTAATAATATAATAATAATATAATAATTAATATTAAAGATTAATTTTATATTAATCTGGAGTAGTATTGTGTTCTTCTTTTTTCAGTCTAATATTTAAATTTAAATCGTTTTCAATAATACATTTCGACAGTAATTTCGACATAAAAATATTTATTTGATATCTCAATATTTTTGCATTATTTGATGTTCTATCGCGATATTTTATTTTACATGAATAAAAATGGAATATTAAATATCCTGACGAATTCTCATTCAATTATTATTATTGCTGCGTATCGTATGCTACAATTTATGGTTCGTACATTGTATAGATAAACTCGTTGCCTCCTGAACTGATATCCCAGCGACATCATAACAGCATAGCGAATCATTGACCGCGTGATTATCTTTTGCATTTCCAGATATCCATTTTGCGGCCTTCCGATAATAATTGGTGATCGCGCAGTTTATTCATTGCGCAAACATGAGAACGGTTCGTAAACGCGCTCACGCATCGAAAACGCATCGGCTTAAATCTCCACAATGGATCGTTGATTAACGGCAGATTCGACGAATGATATAAAAACTTGATAAACGAAGTGTAATCGTAAACACGGACTACGGGTTTCGCGTTTATGCATGCCGTTCGATGGTTCCACCGATATTCCCGTAATAATTATAATTTATATGAATATTAATGATTTATGAATGAAGTCTCTCCTCTGATTCCCTCGTCACGGATTTTTGAATCGTGCACAATTACTTACGTGCTGTCAACGCGTGGCTCTGATTGCGAAATTAAATCGAATGAAATGTGTTTTGGATGCCCAATTTGTTCCAATGGCAATGGGTGTCGACGACATCGATATGCTATAGGTATAGAATAGTGGATAAATACTTGGAAATACTACTCCAACAAGAACCGCGGTTGTAGTAATTAACAAAACAAGCCATAAAAAGATATATACATATGTTTTTAAGGGAGAGTTTAAAGTTTTTGTAGGAAAAAACTAGAAAATATTTGCTTTACATCGACCGGTAAAATGTACGCTTTAAACGAATGATAAAAACGCTTTGTTTGCTGTTTACTTATTTGACTGTTGGTGATGGAAGTGAATGATAACTGCGCTCTAATTTTAATTTTAATTTAAAAAAGGTATGAGTTAAGTTAGTTTTTTCGAGATGGGGTTGCAAAGAGGGAGAGGAGCGGAACCTCTCCCTCGCCCAAGCATTTACTTTAATATACAAAGATCTTTCTTATCGTCCGATTAATAAAAAAGAACTATGTAAAAATTAATATGTCAAAGAAAAGTTTCACAATTTATTCATCAGTTGATACGGGATTAACTAACGGATACAAAAAAGCCATGTTATTCTAGGCCATATAATCTTCTCTCTCTCTATTATATTTATAAATTTATTTTTTTCTACTTTTTTTTTACAAAAACCTTAAGCCCCTATTCCCCCCAAAACTTGTGCATGTTTCTTCTTATAGCTTGTTTTGTTAATTACTACAAAAAACTGCGGTTCTTGGTGGAATTGTATTTCCAAACATTTACCAAATCGTGAAATATAGACGCAACTTTTCGGAGCGTTAAGTTAATAATTATAATTATTATAAATAGAAACTCACACTCTGGCACAATAACAAGCAAACGAAGAGCTTTTAAAAAGACACAGGTGCCTTTTATACTTATTCAACGCAATATAAGCCGCTTTGAAAAATTGACATTATTTCTGAACAAGATTATTCCGCACGATCCCTTGACAGTTAAGTCCCCTGAGCTTTATGCGTTGCCGTATGGATCCCAACCCTGGAATTTTATCGCTCAAGATGCGCGTCGTTGCGCGCTTTTACTTCGTTTCAGTCGCGCTAAGCTAAATTACTGCTGTCAGTACGTTCTGGATGAAGTTTTTGCTTGTTTCCTGAAATAAAAGCTACGCTGCGCTACAAAGCACTCAAGATTATTAGAAAGCGCGCCTTGTTGCTCTTCTTGTTGCTCTGTACGAAGATCGACGTATATACCTTATATCGTAAACGTTTCGGTCAATCATAGTCTTCTCTTTTATTTCAAAAGAACCCGTGATTGGTGAGAGGTATCCGATTAAACAAAGAGAGCACATTTGCACAGTATTTTGTGTGATTATCGGCTTTAAAGTTTACTGCACGTTAATATTGTAAATACGTAAACCATTTATTCTGGGCCAATTTCAAGCGTTATCACATTATTAAATTATTATTGTCATATATTAAAATATTAAATTAATGTAACGTGTATACGCTACAACGGATAATAACCATTTATTAGTAACGAGACAGTTGATATATATATATGTATGAATGATTGGAAAACTGGTGTATCCGATATATATTCGGTGAAAACACACGAAGACATTTCCCCAAATACGCAAAAGCGGGATCTTTCAAAATACACATAATTCTTATACTGCAATATTGAGCATTCGAGCCGCATAATGCACGGTCGTATTTTCGCTCTCCGTTATCGTAAAGTCCTATATAAGCATGCAGCGCGGTGAATATAGTATCGTGCCACCATTGCCAACCGGAGGCTTCGGTTGAATTTCGCCAAACAATGCAGCGATTAATGCCAATGACACATACGCGTCATCTGGAGTACGCGGGGTGCTCGCGCAAGTGTCGGGGATTCGGTGCTGAGATAGGACAATGCGAAATCTCCATCGTGACATCATATCTGCATCCCGATGCAATCCCGTATAGGCGAATCCAGAAACGTGATTCAACCACGTTCTCGTGGCTTTTAAATCCTTTATCACTTCGATGCGAAACTGATATGTGAGTTATAAATGTGATATCGCATGTGATAATAATATGTATACACATAAATGTGATATGTATACACAGACGAGATATTCTCGACTGGATAAATTGTGTACTATCTACTGAAAATTATATTTGTACTTTTATGCTGCAGTATACTACACACAGTTCTAATTTTTAATTCCAATTAAATATTTTATTTTATAATTCTTGTTAGTAGGAAAAAAGCTTTTGTTTTGCCGTAAAATATTCATAGCTTTCAATTTTGTATAAAGCGTTTGACTCTATTGCGTCGCTCGAGTTAGAAAATGTAATCCTTCAATTTTGCAAAAGCCACGCTTTAAAGCTGCAGACGGAGAATTCAGCTGAATCCATGCAGGTACAGCGAGACGATCGCGAAAACCGAAAACCCTCGCAGCGCCCGAATCTGTAGGATCGATTTCAATAGCCGGCTACCAAAAGCCGATTTTGCATTCGCACGGCGTGTTAGAGGTGCGCGCGGCGCACGACAGTTGCGACGCCTCTGTTTTCCACCCGTTCTTCAGCGCCAGCAACCCCATCGCTTCGTCAGGATAGATAGATTTTGTTTGGCTTTCAGCCGGCAACGCTAATGCCAATAACACGGCCGTGTCATCTCGAGAGCTCCAGCTGGCGCAGGTGCCGGATGCAGTAGGACGAACCAGGACAAAACGAATCTCTCCATGGCAACGTCACTCCCGTCGAGAGGACGTCAACCCGCGCGCGTTCGGTTAATACATCGAAGTTCCCGGAAAACGATCCGAAAAGCGCGGTGTACGCTCAGCCTGTTCGATCACGCCAAATACTTTCTCTTCTACCGCAATAGAAAAAAATTCACTTTTCCAAACTTTATCATGGAATACTATGAAACTAGAGAAAGGTTTTCAATTACGTGTACATTTTTGGATTTATTTTACCCAGGAACGCATCGGAAATATGTCGTTTTTTTATAGCTTGATGAAATTTTCATCCGTTTCGATGAATTATTCGTACGGATCTTGAAATGCCCATCTTTCAAGTGACAAAAAATTTTCGCGCAAGCAAAATTTAATATCACCAATATATATGTATAAGCATTATCCCCTCAATCATAAGAGATAAAATAAGAAAAAAAAATACGAAAAAAAAATGAGATTTCATCGTTGGCTTTCATCGCTTTTAGCTTGATCAATTTCACCCGTATGGAGGAAATTTCATATCCGGAATTAAAAGGACAGAAGTTAATTATTTTGCTAGTGTTTATTTGATATATATTTTATGAGCCACGGTAGAGCAACAAATTTCAATCAAATTTCAATAATTTATTAATCTTTTCACTGATACGTAACATCATTACGCCTATATGCATTTTCAAAAACTTCGTCAAATTAAAAATTAATGAGCGATAATAAGAGATATCCAAGCACTCGTTTGTGCAATAATTACTTTATGTATACAACGAGCAAAATTATTTATGTTTTTAATTTCATAAAACTGCGATATCTCTCGTTGAATCAATTCGTGTTTGAGTCGGTGAAAACTTTCTGACTTTTTAAACCGTTGGATGGAATATCAATAACGAATAAAACAAATTATTTCGCGAGTATCGGTCATTACGCGGTTTTCACCAATTTCCAGAGTTAATTAGGGTCAATCGAATGTAAATGTTACTTCGGAGAATGCAATCGATGAAACTGCATCAACGATCTAATAAGTTCGTCTGCGTTTTTTGCGTGCCGACGCGATAAAATTAGTAAATATTATTAAGTGCGCTGAAACTTCGATGAGACTTATGTGCATTTAACTTGAAATATCTGCAGGTTCGGTCAAATCGTTTAAATGAGTAAAAATTTAACAGCAGTTGAGCGACGGTATTAAACAAACAATAAATAAGCTTTCGATTTATTTATTAAACGATATATTATGCAAACCGCAGGCAACGCCATAGGATAGATAAATATATCGTAGGGCAGTAACGCGCCTGATATTGACAGTCCAGCTATGCATGTAGGTATATAATATTATTTCCTCACATGGCCGTGGCCTATATACATACACGTGCTTTGATCGCTGATAACGTGAAATCCGTGCATCTTGAAGCGCGTATTTTATATTTAGAGTAATCAGTTTTATTTCTCTAATTTTATATTATATTTTTGTGAATGTACATGTATCTTAAATATCTTAATTGAACTGTTTATAAGGCAATGCATTTTATATAGCTGCCTTATCATTAATAACAAGTGTCACGGGAATTAATTATTATTAATTATTATTATTAATTTAAGTATGGGATAACATGTCAATCGCACATGGAAGATGATGTATTAGTATTATATTTATTAGTCAAATTTAAAATATCCTTGTTAATTTAATAGCATGAAACACATATACGTCATGCTCTTGTTTTAATAAAATGTTATTTGTTTCACTAATACTCTTATTGAATTAACAAAATTATTCTCAATTAGACTTAAATCTGTTAATGTAACATCATGCAATAACTTTTTCCGTGCACAGAAAAAGAGTAAGTGGTATACTGAGAATGACGGATAATATCTTTTCTTTTAGGTTTCCTGGGTGAGGCACCGAGACATACATCTGTTAACGGTTGGTCGTTACACTTATACCAGCGATCAACGTTTCGAGGCACTACACTCTCCTCATACGGAGGACTGGACCTTGAGGATACGATATCCTCAGCGTAAGGATTCCGGGATTTACGAGTGCCAAATATCTACGACCCCGCCCATCGGCCACCCCGTGTATCTAACGATAGTCGGTGAGTAAATATTTAATTCCATGTAATATTAATTTTTTACTTCCCCGAAAGTGGAGGAAGAAGTGGAAATCTGGAAGAGTGACTTGTACGTCCAATACCCAATGGATATCGTGTACACTAGCTAATCTATCTTATTTGCAAAACTCTCGAATTTCTAATTTCCTTCAAGTTTTCACTTCAGCGACAAAACTTCAAAGTCGTACTTCATTGAGAGGCGTATTTATTTGGAGCGATATAAATTTCCTAGTAACATCACGAGTTTGACTCAAACGTTCCGCTGGATGCAATATAACTTCAAAAGTTTTCTGCTAGTTTGAAGAAAGTGCAGAACTGTCAACTGAACCTCCTGTAGTTGGTTTGCGTATAATATAAACATCGTTTAATTAACTGCTACAGAGAAGAGCAGTCTCTATTCATAATTAGTCCTGGAGTTTAGAAAGCATATATGTAATACGGAATTTCTAATCTTTTTTTTATATCCTTTTCATAGAGGCTAAATAAATGGAATCGAAATTCTTGCTCTCCAATTTTTCCTACGTGAAAATTTAATCGGAAAGCAATGCGCTTTATGTCTTATATCTTAAAATTTGCTGACTAATTTCTGAATATTAAATTAACATTTAAAAAATGTATTTTGTTAAATTGCGATATAATAGCGTGATAAGAAATATCTACTAGATATACGTAAAAGAACGGTGATGCGCTTCACACATTTATATTCAAGTAAAGAGCGTGTGTGAGATCGTATATCTTTGAAGATATCTCGTTAATGACCGCCTTGGTACTTTAAGCAGGCCGTCCAGGCAAAGAGAGGATCTTATCGACACGACTTGACCCAAAAGCTCGCTCTACGATGGGCTCGATTCAGAATTGAGTGTCGAGCGATAAAAATATTGAACATAATAAAAATATACGACGAAAATTATATCACCGTATTATTTAATCGATCTACTCAATAACGACCGTCAGGTAATTACAACAGACTCAAATTGATGGTTCTTTGTTTTAGAGCCGGTAACCATTATAATCGGAGCGCCAGACCTCTTCGTCAATAAGGGCAGCACCATCAATCTGACGTGTGTCGTTAAATACGCCCCCGAACCACCCCCGGCGATGACCTGGAGTCACAATTCGGAGGTGAGTGTTGCTTCCGCAAATAAATCACTGAGAGATAACAGATTTCTACGCGTAAAAGCGAGAAATCTTTGAACTTTTTAACGATTCTGAGTTTTAAGTTTGGTCGTAGCAAAACTTTTAATAGGATTTAATTAAAATTTCGATTTAAAAAATTGAGACTCTAATGTTACAATTTGATTCTAATTATTCTTTTGCACATCTCGTTTATACAAAATAGATAAATTATAACAAGTTCTATAGAATCTGTTTCTATAGAATCTGTCCTTGTGTATTAGTTTTATAATTTTTGCACAGTGATCTTCCAGACCGGAATTCCCGACTGTGTGGCTCGGTGTTCCATCTCCGATTTTCCGAGACCGCAATTTATCTACGCGACGAGTCGCATAACGACGCTCTTTGCCGCGTCAGGCAACAACAGGCACGCATGATTAATACGGTCTGTCGACGCGTATTTTCTTTGCGATGGGAAAATGCATTTTGTGCTTTTAATGCCATTTTGCGCAACAAAAGTTATTGTAAACGCGCATTTCACGGGGCACAAAGAGCGCACTACACCGCGGAACCCATTAATATTGACGAACTCGTTAGAATAATTTTGCGACGTAACGTTCGCGCGGCGTCGCGCCGCGTTTTATTCACGATGACGAGATAATTTTAAATTCCCCTCTGCGGGCCGATATTTGTAATTCCGCGTTTGGTATCGGCCGAGCGGAAATTATTCCGCGCGCGTTAATGAGACGCCCGTACGTGTACGCGCGGTTTGTAGTAAAAACTGTAGCGAGCGATCGATAGAAAAAAAAAAATAGGAGAGAGACATTAATTTCTCGGCTGATTGCCGATACATCGGCATGCCATCGGTCGCCGGAGATACGCGCCACACTCGCTCCGGCTACGTGCTTTTTACTAGAATAAAACAGCAGGTAACGCAATTTTCGCAAGATACTATCACGCACATTGATCAAAGTAAAATACGAAATGAAAGACTGGCCGCTCGCGTGGCAGCCAAGGAACGAAATTATTTTCCGATTAATTCTTCGCGGCGCTTTCAATTCGCGGACAATTATTTATCCCCGCAACGCGAGATACACACGCGGCGAAACGAATTCTACTATAGTATGGTACGAGTTAAGTCTTTTTTTTATATGGAAAAGAGAGAAATGGAAAGCACTGGAAGAAAAGCGAAAAAGGAAAGACGAAGGATATTTTTCCATTCTATCGGGAGTGCCGTACGGGGCGTGCCGTTACGCGTGTCTATCCTCAAAGAGAATACGAAAGAAATGTATATACCTTTCTTGCTATTCTTTACCTCGTACCGCGCAGGGAGTTCTGCCTTTTATCTTCCGCCAAAGGGGCGTCATTGCGTTGTCGGGAAAAGCGGGGATTCCAGGGAAAAGTAAGGAAACAGGCGCGCGCGAGCGTTAAAAGGGGACGATTGCAGGTGAGACGCATACGGCGCGGGCGCCTACATGTTCGATATTAGGCGACGCGAATCAAAAGAGGAGTTAGCTTTTATTTTCGGTATTACCAGACTTCCCCGAAGCTATCATTTCGCGGAGCTTATTGTTAGTTCCTGAGAAACTTACAATAGTGTAGTTGAGACAGGTACCATCTCATTCTCAGCATCTAATCATGACACAGAGAAAGCTTCAGCTATCAATTTAATTTCTTAGACAGTTCTTTATCAGTAATTTTTTAAGTAAACTTTTATTTCTAGGAAGAATTTAGTTTTGAGAAAAATAGAGAGAAAGAGAGGTGAAATATATGTAAGTAAACTGTAACTCCAAATTAATAGATTCTTTATTAATAATTTAATCACATAATCATTTTGTATTGAATAATGTTATTATTGCCGAGCATTTTCGATTATATTACATATGTAAATTTAATGTCCTCCCATTATTATATAGCGTTCGTAGATACGTATATCTGCGTTCTGTTTTCAAATTAATCGTGAATATATCATGCATGTAATTTCATCGTTTGAAAAAATATACGGGTTGTAATTCTGTCCAGGTTATCAATTTCGATTCGCCACGTGGCGGTATCAGTCTGGTCACTGAAAAGGGGCCCGAGACAACGAGTCGTTTGATGATCCAGAAAGCTGTACCGAGCGACTCCGGGATCTATCGGTGCGAGCCGAGCAACGCGAATCCCAGCAGCATAAAGGTGCACGTTGTTAACGGTAAGCTGAAATTGTCTACGTGTGTACACCTGTACAGATTCACTGTAAAACAATTATTTCGATGAATCTTTATTTGCACTCTGCGACCCGTTTTCTTTTTCAATTTTTTCATGATCCGCCGACGCGAAACTTATTTTTTTTTTTTAAGCTTTCTGATCAACATTTTGCGGTTTACCGATAAATTGGAAAAAATTCGAGCTCCAATCGGCTTTACCGCAATTACAATGAAATGAGAGAAATGACGTTCGCGGTACATCTCACGACGAAAGAACTCGTGAAGTAACGTTGATTGACTTTTCTGTAAATATTGCAAGCTCCGAATTTATCCGGCAAGTCGCGCGTTAAACCTGAAATCGATGGTTACGGCCAGTCGATTGCTCGGACGCGAAACATCGCGAATAGATCTCCACGTGCAGTCGCGAATTTCAAAATCTTGTTTTTTTCTCGTTTCTCTCTTTCTCTCTCTCTCGTCGAACGTGCACTCGATGCGTCGCCATCGCATTCGCGATGACAAAGCAATGACAGAATCTGATTTTCGCGCGGAATCTCACGCAATTTTCGAATGCGTCCGGTTACGAGCGAAATAAAATCAAACGAAAGCGGATTGTTTCGTCCGTTCTGAAAGAAGATGCTTTTTTCCGTTTTGTTCGTAACTCGATATATTTTTGAAGCCGGCGGAATTTACGAGTTTTGCCTCTCACGCTGCAAGCAATCAAGTCGCGCGATGCGACTTTACGTAAAGCTTACAAGTTGATTGCGCGAATTGTTTCATCTCTGAATATTACACCTTTATCTTCGCGATTCTAATGCATCAGTTTGTTTAAGAAAATTTAAAATACAAAAAATGCTTAACAAAAATTTACGATGAACTGAAGAGATGTTAAGCATTATTTTAGACTTTGAAAAACAGTGATAATTACAGACAAATGATGAAATTTTGCAGTATTTACCAATTATGAAGATTCGTCCGTAATTGTCTCTCCTAATCCATAATGCATGATGAATGGATCAATGCACACGTAATCAAATAGCCGATATATATTAATTATAAATTTGAAGCGTGTTGGTTAGAACAACAGCTGACAGTTTGGTCAGAATGAAACGGTCCATCCATGTGCACCGATACATAAACAAAGGATGATATGTTATCGTCATCATGTGTGTGTCAGCATCATTTATCTGCGATATTGCTCTTGCATCCGCCACGCATACTCTTTTTTTTCCCCCAAATTTCAGCACAACGCATATTCCTATCTGAATATTTCTGCTTGTAACAATATTTACTTGTTCCTGGGCAAAAAGCAGAACAAACCGTGTACACGATGTACATATGTAAAGTTTCGCGTTAATGTTCATTTGTTACCACCTTGTCCTCCCTTTCTGTCCGCGTAATTTACCAGAAAGCGTTTAAACTCGTTTTGCATCGGCAACTTCAATTTAGCCTGTCGTCTAAACTGATTAAACGTTCGGTGCATTATTAGTTTCCGACTTGCGAGGAATCTGTATCGGTTTTCGATTGAGTTGGTATTTGCTAATTTCTGGGATACACGGAGGGACAGGGAGGGATAATTACTTAAAGTTTTATATAACAATGGCACAAGATTAGCGGTACGTGCGGAGTCCGCGTTCACAAAACTCCGAGATGACATGCAAATAAAATTCTGGGGCAAAAAATAAAAACTCTAGTGTACGAGACGTATACTTTTTTTTTTTTTTTTTTTTTTTTACATTTTATAATTATTTTCCATCCGCTTAATTTATCTCAATTTAAAAACTGCAGAGCGCTGAGAGACATGAATAATATAATAGGTCTTGAATACCTTTTAGCACGCATGATAAAATCATACATAATCGTATAATCCGTTCGTAATCCATTCGTAGATAGCCGTGTCGAATCGATGAACATTTCTGTTGCAGAGGAACATCCAGCCGCGATGCATCATGGGGACGGTAGCTCGTCGTACACCGAGACACGGCCGATTTGTTTTATAATTTTAGTAATAGCTAATATAATGTTTATATAAGGCGAGAAGTACGGAAAATACACTTTACCCCGACACACACGATGAAACGAGAAGCGCGATCGCCGAGAATCGCGGGCTGCCTATTTAACGTCGTTAAACGTTTCTTGGATAAAATATTTGTGCAGGGTAAAACCGAACATTACCATTTACATTTTAAAAGAAAAGAAAAAAAAACGAAACTTCCGTGACCAAAAGAATTTTCAGATATCAGCACGGCACAATAATCGGTAAGAGCGTAGTATTTTGTTAACATATATCATCAAGAACAAATAACTTACGACGTCAAAATTTATTGTATTATTTGTAAATAAATTTATTGTATGTACATATCAATAAAACGATTGTCTTTATCTGGATCGTCTGGTTATTGCAGGCGTTATTGAGACTTGCGTCGAGCCGTCCGCGTCGTAAATCTTCTGCCAAGGTGAGGTCTGATTTAGAATCGACATGCTGAAACAAGTAATGACTTTACATTAATTTAGAGATTTCCGATAATAATTTTTAAATTTTCTACTTTCTTGGATTACAATATATGTAGCTGGGTAAGTAGATCTTTCCTGATGTTCTCTTGGAAAACATAGATGAAAACTGTCGCCGACAAGATTATGCATCGCGTCGCAAAATTCTCGCAAGAGTATTCCGTCAATCACGCGACCGGAGGAAGTTTGCCTCGTTATATTTCGAGGTAACTTTACATCGCTATATTCAATAGCGCCCAGCTAGCGCATCTTCAAGCCACGCGATTTTCCTCAGGGACGCGGAAAGAAGTGGGATGCCGACGCGCACGGACACCGCCTCGCTAATGACAACATTAATTACACCGCGCTATCTTACGCTCGTTAATTACGGCGCGGCGCTAAATTTACCGTGAAAAAATACGGGTGCGTAAATTTCGCGTTCAATCGCGCGGCGGTGCCCTCGATTAATCTGAAAACGAAGGTCTTCTGCAGTTTCTTCGCGTACGCCACCTTGAACGTCTCATTTTCATCAATATCGTCACGGTCGTTTAAATTTTAACGTGTATCCCTTGCATCTAAAGCTTAACATGCCGAACAAAAATTCCGTGCACCGCAATTATCTATATTAAATGCTGTTCTAAAACTATCGCAACTGAATACGCATCTTCGAAAGACGAAGAAGTCGCTTGGCACTCACCGATCGCTTTCATGTTTACCCTATATATATAGCGTCAACTAAAAGGTCGTTTCACGTCAATTGGCTGCAGTGCATCGACCGGCGTTCAAATGGTCAATAAGATCCGCCACGTTCGGTTCTCTCGAGCGTAGGATCATGGGCGGGACGGTCCTTGCACGTTGCTGCTTGCTCCAGGGACCGCAAATGTTTGCCCTCCTTTCTTTTCTCGGCGTCGTCGGTTCCGGCGACCGCTCGTGCAGTGTCATTGACTTGCCAGCTACGAAAAGGTAGGGACCGAGGTAAGGCTGGAAGTCGGGTATGTCCTGCTTGTAGACCAGACTGAAGCCACCCGTGTCGGCGCAAGCGTTCACCGGCACGTCCATTATCACTGTAAGCAACGGCAAAGCGATCGAAGGATTTTCATCGTGCACCATACCACCAAAATTAACTACTCTTAACTTATACGGTGATGGAGTTTGCAGAAAACAGATTAGCAGATTAGGAGAAACCTGTGCACTGCCGCATACTCGGCATAGTTTTCTTTAGACTCTTTCATGCCGCTTTGCATAAGAGAGTCTTTTACGTAATGCTTATCATTATGTAAAAGAGATCAGTAACTCTTGTTTACATTTTATTAGCGTTATTTAAGTTGAAATATATAATATTTTATATTTGTCTTTATATCCTCAATTCTCATTTTAACTGCATTGTACTAAATCATTGTCACGTTGATAAATTCTCGGCATTTAAATCTCAGTGTGAGAGCAAAAAAGATTTCTGATTTATTCCGAATATTGAAATTGAACGCAAACTAATAGCCGGTATTTTTAAATATATGATCCTTCTATTTATCTTTAATTATTAAAGAATTTATTTAAAATTAGCAATTTTTGCGATACACGCTGTTATTACAGAAATTAATATATAGCGATCTATTTATAAATGTTGAATATTTTTATTTAATATATTTGCGTTCGACAGATTCAGAAAATTAAATATTCAAAAATGAATTAAAAGGAAGGCCAGAAAGCGATTTTATAAATTAATACAAACGGCATATATCAGCTCTTTTTCAGAAGAGATAGGATATTGAATTTAATAATAAAAAGCCATGCATATGAGGGACAAAGAATGAGGAGAATGGAATTCTTTTCAACTTGAATGTTGGAGAATTTAAAAAGACTGATTATGTGTGCGTGTGTGGAACCATAACTCATAAAGCTCTATTGTTTAAATTTATTGGTAGTCATAATAAAAGAATTTCATTATTGCAAATTTAATATTTTTATTGGATCTTTTCTTTCCGTGCGTGTATGTGTGTGTGTGTGTGTTAACCTAATATCTATATATTATTATAAAATCAGGTTGTATATTACAAAAAACCTGATACGCGCGTTTCGAAAATAAATATGTTTTAATATCTATTATATACACATTACACATACAGGATTTTTATCATTTTACAACTGTATAAACCTTTTGTTATAGAATATTGTAATATAAACAATACAATAAATATCGAAACGGTTAACAAATTTAAACTTAATTGAAAGAACATTTTACAAATATATTTATTGAAAAGTAATCGATATTTATTTTAAAAGGCGGTAAAATTATTTCTATCAATTCAACTATATATATTTGAATGCATAACTAATGCAATGATTTTAAATTTATAAAATGTTCTTTCCCCATCAGAGATCGTACGATCATGAAGATATTAAAGATATAACCGATGCAATCAGGTGTTTGGCCATTTCGGGCTCGATAATTGCGCCCGGGAAATCTCGCTAACGCGGTTAATTCCTCGCGTAAATCCATCACGTAGGGCACGTGGCGCTTATCGACGTTACGTCGCCGCGAATTATGGTCACCGTTATCATCCTGGGTGAGCCAAACCGAGAGAGAGCCGTCTCGGACGACGCGTAACTCGTCTAATCGCTCGGCTGCGGTTAGCGATACTCGCGATTTCTAAAACTCGTACGAAACGAGGTGTTAAAAGCACGCGGTTCGTCCATCCCCTCGTCGCCACCTCGGAAAAACTTTCTTTCGGACACGATACTTGATAACTTTTTCATACCCGTTTCCCCGCTCACCTTTCACCAGGCTCTCCAGCACGTTAGAGTAAAGACGTCTTGTCACTCTAGAGCTAGGCGGATGCATACGGGGATTAGTATTGATCTCGATCAGCCAGACCGACATATCCTCGGCCAGCATGAAATCGGCGCCGTACAATTCGAAGCTGCAGCGACGTCTCTCCATGTGATTCTGCGCCGCCAGCATCATCAAAACGATGGCCTCCGTCATTTTTGGGTAAATCAGATCGTAATACGGTTCTCCTTCATGGCCTATGGATCTAAGAAAGTAAGCGCGATTAACGATTTATTTATTTATTTCTTATTTGAATTATATATATTATATAGTATATGTATATAAGTCCCTGACTTAAAGATAAAAGTATAAATATTGAATATATATGAATGAGAGTCTCTGTTTCCTCTATTTATATTAGATTACTGTTGTTTCAGTTTAAAAATTTACTCTTTATTTATTTCTACATCGAATTTATTAATAAAGTAACGTTACATGTTTCGAGACCTCTGATTAATTTTTGATAAAAGGTGACAACGAAAAAATAAATAAGTTATAAATCAATAAAGCTGTCATAAATTATGACAGCAAGGTCCACATTGCAATACGAAATCGGAGAACGTTCTGTTTTATCTAAAAATAAATTCAGTCACTCAGTGGAAACGGATACCACAATTTAGAACTTGTATAACTAAAAGCATGAGATACGCATTGTATGTAGACACAAATGATTTAAGCGCATTTTTAATTCAGATGAAACCAATTGAATAAAATAGATTTTTGTATGTATCGGACAAATTTTAGCGAAAAACTTTGCGGCAAATTGAAACATTTGTAACGATGGAGAAGTCCACTCAGCGTCAATAATCAAAATAAAAGCTCATATTTCATTGAAAAGTGCAATTATTGTAAATAAACTATGGTTTCGCAAACAATCATATCTTTTTCCACCAGGTATTGGTTCCCCAAAATAAATAATGAACTAAAAAATATTGTAAGTTTTTATATTTTACACCGTGTCAGGATTATCTTTCTTTATCGGCGATCTAAAATTGTTTGTAGAGTCAATATTTGTTTTAAAAACCAGTCTCTCTCTTCTTCAAACGATCAGAATATGGATAAAAATATGATGACATAATATTGTTGTAAGAATTACAATTCCTAATAAAATCGGGTAGTATAAAATTAACAATTTAACAAGTTAAACAAATTAAGTTTTTCAAGGATTAAAAATTGCAAAGTGCGCAAAATTAACATATAATGATAGATTAATGCAAACTATTAAATTTCGATTTGCATATTCGCAGAAATAATAAAATATTTTTTTATCTTTTATTAGCCTCTCTCTCCCCTTGGATACTTCAATTTTCGATATCCGATTGTCATTAAGACGCCATCTGCTTCAGCCGCCGTGACAAAGATAACCGATGGCAAAGTCATTACCGTTAAAATGGAACAGCAGCGAAATCTTTGACGGAAAGCATTCCCCGGGTGCAAGTCTCGAGAACAATATCTCTTTCGCGTGACAGTGGCACGCACGAACACATCGACATACCGGGTCCATTCACGAGCGTAACGGCGGATAATATATATCCGTTTTATTCACAATTACTTGGGCGTCGAATATAGGTACATAATGTCATCGAGAAATCTTATTCGATTTGTCATTTGAGAAAGGAACGGCGGGGAAGGCGCGGCGAGGCCATTATCATCGGCGAAACGGGTTCCTTGCCCGAACGTTTTCGGACGAAAACGCGTTCCTCGAAGAAAGCGTATTTGCACACGGGCCCTATCAATTTCCTCGGAATGCCTCCGGGGACCGGACGGCCGCCGACCGGCGTGACGAATGGATAATCGAAACGTCTTCGCCTACGGACGAGAGATTACTTCAAATATTCGTTCAGCTTCTCGCAGTCCCATCCTTGATCGCGCACCGATCTGCTGCTGGCGGGTTCCTCGGGGTCCCCCTGCCTGCGTCGCTGCCTGCGTCTCTTCTCGTCGTCGTACTTCTCCTGGATGGCGGTATTGCAAATGTGAATCGCCTCGTGATAGGTCGAGAAAGTGTACGGCTTGGAGCTGAATCGAAGAAACGCTTCTCTGGGGAGAGCAGGAGCGTAGATTGTAACAAAGAGGTGTTGAAGTACGTATTCAAACAAATCTTTCTTTTTTTTTAATCAAGCGAAATTAACATAGAGTTAGAACATAAAAAAACGTGACATGTTAAGAACAATAACCAATAATATTATAATGTTTATTATAATTTTCTTATTATGTTATATTAAGCTCGAACTCTCTCTTAAACAACGTTTGTTTTTCGAACCGGAAAAAAATTATTATTCCTAAGGATAAAATAGAAAGGAATATTTTTCCTATTATATGCAAAATGATTTAATTGCGATGCGATTTACTTGAAAAGCCATATTGTGAGAGGGAAGGTACTCGTTACCAAGTACCACAGTCGTATGTCGAACTTGGTCTCTTTGATCAGCAGGGGACGTTCTGAAATATAAATGACGCGACTAACAAGTTGAATGCGATCCTTGAAGCGCGTTTGTACAAAAACATCCGTACCGATGTACTTCTGCACGATATAATAATCTTTGGGCTTCTGCTCGGCTCTACGCAAGATATCCTTGAGATCGTGGGATATAACGATGCCATTGCCGCAGCACAAATGGCTGGGCTTCAAGATCCAAATGCCTCTCATGTCGCTCATCTCATACTGCGGATCGACGGTCTTTAATTTCTCCAAAATCGCGACGGCGGTCAGGAAACATCTCTACGAAACGAGCGATATTGATATCGATTTATGCGAGGAGGGTCTCAGCTTTCGTTGCGGGGCACGTGGATCTCTCGACTTTAATTCCGGAAAGTTCGAATAAATTCATTCGCGGCGAATTGGATCTCCCTCCGTCAGCGGAGGCCACATTTCGACGGTCGGCGAAGCGAAATTAATTTAATGAAATCGCGGAATGTCTCAATCCGGGGGAATCGTGAGAGATTGTCAGGTGACGTCGAATTTCCAAGAAGCCACCCTCCTCGTATCTCTCCTCTCCAATCGAAGGAGGGTGGCTCGATCGTGAGAAATTCGTCTGCTACGTGAACAAAATATCGTCCACCGCAAATACGTGTCAATTACGCACTTCCTTTGACGGAAGTACTTTCGACGACAACCTAAATAGAAACTAGTGTTAAGCACATATTTGACTCTCCTTCTAATTTACGCGCGCGCACGACACGGAACTTCTTGAGACTTTATCGCTGTAACACATCTGTGTGATAAATCAAGGATCTCTCTCCTCGTGGCGCTTTTTTTACGAGGTCACTTAATTGAACCGAAGGTCTGACAACCCGTAATAAAATTTTATTATGAGAAATGGAATGGTGGATAAGGAATTCCCGGCACACAAGAATAAAATGGGCTTTTGCGGAATCAATAAATAAACATCAGAGTTAAGAATCTCGTACGTCTTTCCCTCACTCGTACGGCTTAGCGTTTCGTTATCACAAGCCCTTTAATTTTGTTTCATCAGTTAAGAGTTAATGGTATCACGTGGCAGCATCTCGGAACATGTTTAATGCAAGGATGTTTTCGTGCGCCTTGAATAATTAACACAGTTTGGTTTTGTTGCCTACGCTACCTCGTAACCGCGTCTATTATTAGCGCGAATCAGGGGGAGCGCGAAATAAACACGCCATTCTAACGCAATCGATCGTTCAACACGTGATACGATTCTGCCGAAAGTGCAGCGTCTTCTTCTTCTTTTTTTTCGTCTTCAGAAGCCTGGATTTCATATATAAGACACGAGCGATGTTTGAGGCAAATAAAAATACATAAAAACTGAAATCAATCCAAGAGGGTCTGCAGGCTGCTGATTTAATTGAAATTTATGTGTAAAGCAAAATTACCTCATTGTTATTTCATCGCTGTAATAAAATATTGAAGAACTGATGGTAACAGGTTCTTACAAGGCCAAAATTCAACTCGCCGATATTAATGTATGGATTCATGTTTCTCCCTTTATTATATTCTGTACATTAATTAATTTAATACCGGATGGTATTACGAGGAACCGCCGAGTGAGGCATGCTACTGAATATTATTATGAATCGTTCAGTCGCGATTTCTCGCGATAATCCGACATTAAATTAATTAACGTGCAGAGTGTGCTAAGGGGAGAAACCTGAGCTGGTTAATTTTAGTTGAATTTTCTATACGTTACGGATATAGGAGAATCAAGAATTATTTTCGCGAACCTATTAGCCAACTGCGGTTTACCGCGTAATAATTTTGATACCTGAAGGAGCTCGCGACTTTCTTCCGACGAGCTATCAACACCAGCTCCTTGGTGAAGCGCCGCCGCGTAATCGTCCAAGAAACGATCCCATTCCTCGTCGGACGGCTGCTCGCCTTTTTCCACATCGATATCCTCGTGCGTCGCGGTAGCGACGAACTCCTCGCAACGTTTCACTGCGAACTCCAACCCGGCAATCGGAATCGCTCGTCGTCCTTCCGAATTGACCACAAGAATGTCCTCGGCCGCGGTCATACCGCGAACGAACCATTTGAGGAGACCCGCGGCAGCGGTCAGTCGGAAGTCCTCCACGAAGGCTCGTCGATCCGTGCTGGGACTGTAAGTACGCGGGAACAGGGCGCCGGACACGTTCTCCTCGTACAACCAATATGCGTCTTCCAGTAAGCGCGCCATTCCGAGCTACACACGTGCGGCAATTCGGGAACGTTTTACTTATCGCGCGCGTTACGCGACGACGATGACGATACCACTTTTATCGCGGAACGGTGGCAATTCCGACCGAGAATGCGAAGGAGCCGCGACTCGGCTCAAGCAATTTTCATAAAACGTTATTCATAAAACAGCTAAATAACAGGTGTTTGGGAATAACACTACGCGGTAACGTTTAGAGCGGAATATGTTAGCGATATCTAGGCTCAAGGAAATATTCCTGGAACATTTGTGTTTCCCATTCAGCGAAGTCGGCTGGTTAGCCCTTACAGAAATTTAATACCGTAAGTGATTATTTGACTAGTGATTAATTACTCATTTTGAGTATTAAAAGCATTAAAAACAGTGCCTTTAATACTCAAAATAAGTAATTAATCACTAGCCAAGTAATCACTTACAGTATTAAATTTCTAGGTAAGGGAGGGTAGTACCTTCGAAGTATAAACGAAGGATCTCTGATATTTGTTGAGCAGAACGTTGCAGCTGAGTCCGCGATGCCACTCGACGAAGTCGTTCCTGCAGTCCCATATGAAGTCAGGCGGCTTGTGCCGCAGGAGGGCAAAAATCACAGCCCTCTCGTTCAGCGTTCCATCCGCTTGCGTGACATCGCCGAGGGAGTGAGCTTCTAAGTTAGCCGCGCTACCTAATCGTCGAAGAACACAGAAAATGGTAGACATTAGAGACGATATTTCATCCTCCGGTGCGGTGTGGCGTTCGGCACCGTATTCCGCCGGCGGTGCGCATTAACTTTATCGTCCGCAATCTACAATCTAACCGTATGGCAGCATTCTCGTTCTAGTTGACTCGTACTTTTGCACCCACCCTCGGGCCTCCAGCGCTTCCTTCAGCTTTGGCAGCTCGCCTCGCAGGAGAAATATTTTGTGCGTCTGCGAATGTTTTGACGTTTATTGATAAAAATGCGTTGAATTGTGCGTGAATAACTTAACGCAGTTTTTCTATCAATCGATTAAATTCCACATTTAAAGTCACATCGAGAAAGAGAGAAGGAAAAACGGACAATTTAATTTTCCAAGAGCACAGTGGAATAATGTAGCTTAAATAGTCTTGCTATTTCTTGTGTATTTTATGTAAATAGTCTTGCTATTTGTATAACTAAGTCCAGGAAAATTACCTTGACAGCGTTTTCCACTTTCGCCTTGATTTTCTCGTAAGCCTCTCTCCTCGACCGTTCTTTTTTACAGCGACGTTGTGCGACGATTATCTCCCCGGAAAAAGTACAGCAGGAACAAGCGTCCACGTAGGAATTTTCGTACGCGCCGCACTCGAATTCCGGTAAGCCGCTAATTCCAGCCTCGCTCTGGTCGTCCGCGTCCGGAAGCGTCCACCTCGGGCGCGTCATTCTCGCGCGGACGGATCGATGGTATGGATTCACGGGGCTGTCCTTCCTATCCAGATCGATCGAGGAAGGAGACAATTTCCAACTGGATTGAAACTTCTTATCCCGGCACGTGGACTCCATTGTGATTACGCCCGGGGAAACGCCTGGCTCCCTCCTAATATCTCCGAACGAGCAAATGTTAAATTGCCGCGATTTGTCGTAATTTGTCAACGTAACTCGTCATTTATAGTTATCAGACGGCTGACGTGGCCCGGCGTGAATTAACGCGAAGGGGGAGTCCGTTTCCCACGGTGCGGGCAGTAATGCGACTTCGACTTCGGGATTAAACCGGAGGACTCGGAGCGATATCTCAGTCACTCGATTAACGGCTAATTGCGTTCATTTAGTGCAACGGTCGCGCGAATAGCGGCGCGACCGCGCGTCCTATACCATCGTCTATTCCGACGAAATGCCTCGTCGAATAATTAATCCGAGAGGTCCACCCCCGTCCTGCACGCGAGGTAATACGTTTAATGAACTATGCAAACAATTTTAGGATCCGTTATGTGGATCCGAGGATCGACGCGCGTGGTATTGTTATTAGAGGGATCTGATGTATGTGCCAGGTGAGTTTACTGTTATGTGGAAAGCGCGTGGTTTAGACGCGGCACCGGACAAATGTTGACCGGTGTTCTTAAAGCTGCGGGAAAATGCTGCTTAGTGGAAAATCGATTATCGCGTCAGCTTAATTCTTTATACGTCGTACGGAGATTCTTCCATATTTCCGAATACATTTTGTATATCAATCTTTATTAACTTCAGCTTATACCAAGAAGAGCGGACTTGGTCTACAAAATAATTTAACTCACTTATACCTTCCATTCAACTTTAGTATTTAATCTTATCTACTCTTCTTTACTCTAGCCTTTTTTTCTTTCCATAATTGTTTTAACACTTTTCCTTTAGCCCTATCTAATTCGTCATTCTATATTTTATCTATTATTTCTTCTTTATTTCTTCCTAATTCTATAATAAACCAACACTGTAAAAAAATTCTGTAAAATTACAACTATTATAGTGGGTAATTTTGAGACCCACTATAATAGTTGTAATTTTACAAAATTACAGTACGGAAGGAAAAAGTAATTTTGTATCACAATTACACAAATTAAGAATGTGTGGAAATTTACACCTATTATAGTGGGTCTCAAATTACCCACTATAATAGTTGTAAATTTTACAAAAATTTTTTACAGTGAATCTCTGGTAAACTCCAGTGTCTAATAGAATACATTTTATATAATAAAATATAAAAAAATAGAATCTCTTGTAACTTGACGTGCCGTAAATGTTTTCGCGTTGTGTGTATGTAATTGGAATTTCTCCCAAAATTCTGACAACGACACGAGGACGGGCCGCGACCGATCACGCGACGGAGGGCAAGTTTGCCCAGATGACATTGTCACCAGCAAAATCCGAATGTCCGTAACGCATGTGCGACAGGATGGAAACGGCCTCGCGTGCGTAACTGCGCGATAAATCCTTCGGAGCGAGCGGCAAATCGTTTGGTTAAATCACCGTCTATCGCGCGCTAATACAATTAAACATTGAAATAAATGTTACGAGCATTCTGCCACGAGTACGTGATCGCTTTATGAGCGTTAATAGCGCAGTGTCCGCGATGTTACTTTCTCAGCGCGTATTTTTGCCTCTCTCGCCTATCGAAAAACAGCTCAAGGTCCGCGCGAAATTCCAATAATCATTTCGCGGATATCTCTAGCGAAATAAATACCTAATTTTCTCGTTCCAAATCCGTCACAATAATCCACCCTGACTTGAGGTTAAGGCATCGAAATCTGAAAACGACGACGAATCGTACCGAAGATTTTTACGACAGCTCTGACAGCTTCGACGGACCGCGGGATTTAGCTCATGACTCTTGTGTGCCGGGAAGCGTGTGCTGGTTGCGGCCCAGTTAGGTTCCCTATTCGCCGATCACGGGCATGTTTCTTCCTATTTTCCTGTGCACGTATCCGCCGCCGATGAGCGGCTAGATTCAAGCGATCCCTGATGCTTTGCTGAATATTTTATTAATTCCTTCCGAGTGTGCAAACCGGTGGTGCACTTTCCAGGGACTTTTTCAAAGCGAAAGTCGTTAGCGTACAGCAACGGGGAAAAAACCACGCGTTTCTGCGAAGGGAAATGAGCTCCGTGCAGCCCAAAAATTCCATAATGCGCCAAATTACTCTTTTACATATTTTCTTGTATATATTTAGATAAGCTGTGTTTAATAAAATAAAGAAAATGTGTAACATACACAAGAGTATGTAACTAAACAGTTATATTCGTATTCTAAACACAATGCCATGTAAATATCAAATTAAATTATATTTTTTTAATGTCCATTTCTGCCAATGTAGATTAACTTTAATCTCGATTTAACTTCCCACATAGCACGCATGTCTAAAAGATGTCTAAAAGATGTCGTAAAGATGTCTTTTAGACACGTGTGTCTAAAAGATGTCTAAAATATGTCTTTACGACGTCTTTTAGACATACGTGCTGTCTGGGATTACTTTTTATCTTTTTCTATAAGTTCTATAAGAATTAGAATAGGATAAAAAGTTAGTTAAACCAAGATTAAAGTTAATATACATGCATTGATAGAAATGGACTTAAGTTTGACACACACATATAAAAATTTAACACACGAGACACGTGTGTAAAGTAACAAAAAGAATTTGTATGTGGAATTTTATAGTAAAATTTCAAATCGAAAACTAACCATTAGAAAGTTATCGCTAAAGTGGGTCATGCGCTCTGCATTATTTCCAAAGTGAGCCAGAATTCGCGTCGGTACGGAACGGAACGTCAGAATGAAAATCAGGGTTTCGGAGCCATCGTTGCGTTCAAATTGGATTTCATAATCGAATTCCAGACATCTTCGACGATTCGGGCGCGGTGCCGCGCGCGCTCTAAATACGAGGGCGCGAAAATTCGCGGAAATAAACGTTCAAAGTGTTGTTTTACCGCGCGTGGATTTATGACACCGTTCCGCGTGCCGCATTTATTTTCACCCCCCGAGCCCATATACACATATCCACTGTGCCGCACATAAATTCCATATCTTGCTTCAATATTTTATCGCTGTCGGATTAAAACAGCGCGAGATCCAATATGAAACGTTTTCGCGCGCCGCACACGTTACACCGATTCGACGAAACGCGAAATAATAAAACAAATCCATTAAGCGCACCCCGTACCTTTTAACGACGCTCGTCGCCGAAAATCGTCCTTTCGTCCCCAACCGCGAACCGTATTACGAGGGGATGAATCTATTAAAGAGCGTGGCGGCGCGGCCCACGAGTTTTCGAACTTTTTCGCCGCGAAGCAATTATTATCGATAAGTCGGGATTATAACGGCGAAAGCACCCCCGCCGGGGTTTTCAGAGGGTGAAAGGGGTAAAGAGAATGTGCTTAACCTTATTTTAAATAATATATTTCACGAGGTTCTTCCGCCGCTCCGTTCTCTTTCGCGATATAATCAGAATAATGGAAGGTCTAATAGAGGCCTCCATATGAATAAGGATGTAACTGCGGAAGGAGGCTGGGAGGTTTAAAAGCACTCTCCGGTGCCTTTGGTGATTAGAGAGTGCACCGAGCGTGGTTACTTAGCCGGTTAACTCGTTCGCGTACTTACTCTTGTATATATTCCCGCATCTTGTTTCCCGACGCAGTGCGTCGCGACGCGGGGGTTACGCGTTTCGAAGCGCAATGCGGCGCGATGAAATTAGCGAGACAGCGTTGCACGCGGCTGTTGCACGTCGGGTCATTACCGTAATGCATCGTTTCAGGACAAAAACGAGACACGGTTGAGCCTGGTGGCTAAACGAGAACTTTAACTCCGTTGTGAGCCATCGAAGAAGCGGACGGGGTGGGTTTTACTTCATCTCGTCGACGAATTCGGGTTCGCGAGGCGGAGCGTGGGCCTCTTTAATACGATTTACGGATCGATAATAATTTTTAGCTAATTACCAATTCCAGCGAAGAGCATCGAGGAGCGTCAAACTCGACTAACTAATTTTTTACCGCTCCATCAGCCGCGATAACATCAGCGGGGATAATACGCTTAAACTTCGACCCGATGCATTATATACATTTTCAATTACTCGTTTTACCTTATCACCCGCTTTTGGAAAACGCCGGGTAATAATCACTGCTATCGCACGCCAGCGGCGGTGTCGATAATTAGTAAACGAATTACGTAGTTAACTTACAATTTCGTTGTGCATGCACGACACCCGCGCGCTGTGCGAGCGCCGCGGCGACGTGCCGTGCAAGCAAAGTAGCTGTAAATTACCGAAACACAACTTCGCGGTCTATGGACACTGCCACGTTTATTAAGCTAATGCGAGTTTTCGGCCGAAAAACTTAATCCAACGCAGGCGCTGCGACGGCCCCTTTTCCGCTTAACGCTTAACGAACGTAGTAATTTAACTGGCATAAGTCGCGCCGTTTCACCTAATTACGTGCGCCCCGTAGCTCCTCCGTTTAGCGATGCAATTTCGCGCAGGTAACGGATGTTCAGATCTTCTCCGTCAGGATATTATAAATAGTGATAATGCTCGAAAGAGTACGGAAGATGAGGATATGGATAATTCAGGGGGACGTGAATATTGCAGAGGAACAAAGAAATCCGCGGATGAAACGAGGCACGGGTAATCCGGGAAACGTGTATCCCTGTTCCTTATACATACATCATCTCGTTGACCCTTTCCTCACGCAATTCGCGCATAATGAACGTAATATCCCTGATTTGCAAAGAGTAAGGCGAATAATCGGTCTTCCACACATGAGAATTGCATCTCTCTCGGCACGGCGCGGGCGCGGCGGAGAAGCAATTCCATCCATGTAAGAGCGTGTTACACGAACGGTCGGCGGCGGCCACGCCGGATGCCGGAATGGCAAAGCTGTAACGCCCGCCCTTAGCCGCGATATGTCATTCGCGATGAAATAGCGGCGTAATGACGTTCGTTCTCGCGTTACGTGCCGCTGCCACAGCGTGGGCTTACTACAACGAAACGTAATTCCGCGTGGCTGCGAGAACGCGATCGATATAAGCGTCGCAGGTAAACACCGCA